TGATGTTGATGGGCCATGGTTGGTCTGTTTAATGGTGAGAGCTTCTGATAGCTATGGATCTGCGTGGTATATTTCTGTTGGGGTTACGTCACGGACGAGTGGTCAGTGGGCGATGGACATTGTTACGACAGCTGTCAAGCACAACAGACCTCTCTCAAGATGTTATATCACCAACCGTAAACAAATTGACCACATCTGAAATTGTTCAGGCAGATGCACTTACAAAACTTTCAGGGGCCCAAACGGAGAATTAATTGGCTCTATTCTTCTCCCCTGATCAAACATCCCACCCAGTTCTCTCCATGCAGATGGCCAAGTATTTTTAGATACAATACCGGGATCGCTAGATCATATTTTTAGAAGCGTTCACTCAATATGGGCAACCCTCGCTCTTCGTTTGCTCTCTTAGGGGACATGACACAATGATTGCGAAGACTTAGTACGTCTGCTTGATTACGCAGCCAACAATGACAACTGCAGAATACTTCTGACCTTCAACTGACCTCACAGACAGGGTGTAAACAGACAACACCTGCCCGCAATCCGCGAGATCGGGTCTTAATTTGCTCACGTCATTAGAATCATTTTAGGATAAATTTGGGACAGGATAAAGATTACAGGGCTAATGAAAATGAGATAGCTTAGAACCGAAGGAGGTATTTTGTTCCAGCAATTTGTCTGCCATTCTGTAAGGATGGCTGGATGGGTTTTGGCATGTCAACAGTCAATGCTTTCTACCGTGGGCCCTGTTATCCCGAAAAGGAAGACATTGGGCACGTGCTGACGATCGTCATGATGTAAGCCGTTACAGAGATATCGCGGTATAATAGACAGTCGTCTGGCTGACACTGAATGGAAAAGCCGTTTAACTGTGTAACTTGTCCGTTTGGACTAAATGATGGACAGAGGGAATCAGATTCAGCGATGACAGTGATATCTCAATGAATAATATCACTTGGAAAGTAGGAAAACCTGTTATTAGGGTTTTATTTGTACTGTGACACATTTTTTATCATACAAACATGAATATTTATTACTTTTGCAAACATGATATGAATGTGCATTTGAATAAGTGTGTTTGTAAATGTCTTGGTAAATATATACATGTATATTTTTTTCTTTTTCGATAAACTGGTAAATTTGGTAAATTTGGATAAATTTCAACTTTGATAAATTGGTAAAATCTGAGTCCTAACTACCATAGTTTTATAAAAAATATCTTGCTGTCATAAACAGTATCATAAGCCATCAAATGGTCCTGCCTTTGATTTTATAATTTTTTTGTATCTCTTTATACATTCTGGTCCAGCATCATCCTGGATGCCTCATCAGTTGCATAACAGGGATATAAAATATTAATAATAATACAAAGAAAATATATCCAGGTATATTTTTTCTTTTTCGATAAATCCAATCAGGAAAACATTTTTTATGATACTGTCAAAGATGACATTTACTGAACATGGACAAGATGAAAACTGAATTTAATGCCTTACTGATAGGATATAATATATATTCTATCATTAACTATTGAATCTTGGATGAATAAAATTGACAACCACACAACTCTAGGTGAATGTTTATTGGTTTTTATTTCACAGGAAATGTCAACATGATGAAGAAATATATTAAAATAAAGAAAACACAGACTTACGACAGTCATATTATAACTCCCATACTTTAACACAGACTTACGACAGTCATATTATAACTCCCATACTTTAACACAGACTTACGACAGTCATATCATAACTCCCATACTTTAACACAGACTTACGACAGTCATATCATAACTCCCATACTTTAACACAGACTTACAACAGTCATATTATAACTCCCATACTTTAACACAGACTTACAGCAGTCATATTATAACTCCCATACTTTAACACAGACTTACGACAGTCATATTATAACTCCCATACTTTAACACAGACTTACAACAGTCATATTATAACTCCCATACTTTAACACAGACTTACGACAGTCATATTATAACTCCCATACTTTAACACAGACTTACGACAGTCATATTATAACTCCCATACTTTAACACAGACTTACAGCAGTCATATTATAACTCCCATACTTTAACACAGACTTACAACAGTCATATTATAACTCCCATACTTTAACACAGACTTACGACAGTCATATTATAACTCCCATACTTTAACACAGACTTACGACAGTCATATTATAACTCCCATACTTTAACACAGACTTACAACAGTCATATTATAACTCCCATACTTTAACACAGACTTACGACAGTCATATTATAACTCCCATACTTTAACACAGACTTACGACAGTCATATTATAACTCCCATACTTTAACACAGACTTACAGCAGTCATATTATAACTCCCATACTTTAACACAGACTTACAACAGTCATATTATAACTCCCATACTTTAACACAGACTTACAGCAGTCATATTATGACTCCCATACTTTAACACAGACTTATAGCAGTCATATTATAACTCCCATACTTTAACACAGACTTACGACAGTCATATTATAACTCCCATACTTTAACACAGACTTACGACAGTCATATTATAACTCCCATACTTTAACACAGACTTACGACAGTCATATTATAACTCCCATACTTTAACACAGACTTACGACAGTCATATTATAACTCCCATACTTTAACACAGACTTACAACAGTCATATTATAACTCCCATACTTTAACACAGACTTACGACAGTCATATTATAACTCCCATACTTTAACACAGACTTACAGCAGTCATATTATAACTCCCATACTTTAACACAGACTTACGACAGTCATATTATAACTCCCATACTTTAACACAGACTTACGACAGTCATATTATAACTCCCATACTTTAACACAGACTTACGACAGTCATATTATAACTCCCATACTTTAACACAGACTTACAGCAGTCATATTATAACTCCCATACTTTAACACAGACTTACGGCAGTCATATTATGACTCCCATACTTTAACACAGACTTATAGCAGTCACATTATGACTCCCATACTTTAACACAGACTTACGACAGACATATCATAACTCCCATACTTTAACACAGACTTACGACAGTCATATTATAACTCCCATACTTTAACACAGACTTACGACAGTCATATTATAACTCCCATACTTTAACACAGACTTACGACAGTCATATTATAACTCCCATACTTTAACACAGACTTACGACAGTCATATTATAACTCCCATACTTTAACACAGACTTACAGCAGTCATATTATAACTCCCATACTTTAACACAGACTTACGACAGTCATATTATGACTCCCATACTTTAACACAGACTTACAGCAGTCATATTATGACTCCCATACTTTAACACAGACTTATAGCAGTCACATTATGACTCCCATACTTTAACACAGACTTACGACAGTCATATCATAACTCCCATACTTTAACACAGACTTACGACAGTCATATTATAACTCCCATACTTTAACACAGACTTACGACAGTCATATTATAACTCCCATACTTTAACACAGACTTACGACAGTCATATTATAACTCCCATACTTTAACACAGACTTACAGCAGTCATATTATGACTCCCATACTTTAACACAGACTTACGACAGTCATATTATGACTCCCATACTTTAACACAGACTTACAGCAGTCATATTATGACTCCCATACTTTAACACAGACTTACGACAGTCATATTATAACTCCCATACTTTAACACAGACTTACGACAGCCGCGCAGCAAGAGGATATTACAATCTCATTAAAATCAGATCTAAGTTCTCGGTATCGCTAAACAAAGATCTGAGGACATCCCATTACATGTCACGTCAGAACGACCTTTCATCCGACCAATCATAGCGTCACTTACCAGATCATGAAAGTGACAGCCGGAATGTGTTTTCTAATCATGCAACCTCGAAAACGTTAACACGGGGTATTCCGAACGACAGTTACGGCCCGTACGACTGAGTCTGTCAAAATTATTGTCTATCTCACACTTCTGTGGGATAAACGTTTGAACGGAGGTGGCGTTGCACAGTATGTGGGAAGCACTGACATACAATATCAACCATCAACCATATATTAAACACACAGGAATGTTCGTTTGTTCAGTTTTCAAAATTTTAATCGAGAACTGTGTCAACATATTTTTCAAGCGTAGTGTGAAATGGAAGTCACCTGGTTGAAACGAGTGCCGTAAAGCTCGAGAAAGCTGCTTTCTAATTGGCTGATGTTGACTTGTTATTAGTCATGTCAGTGGTCGGTCAAAGTTCGCGAAAGGTCGTTCTGACGTGACCCGTAATGGGACGTCCTCAGATCTTTGTTTTGCTGCAGCGAGTACTTAGATCTGATTTTAATGAGATTGGAGGATATTATTTCACATATATTTTAAGTGTACATCAGGGATTGATCTATTGCCATTTGCCAAATGTGTTTTGTGAAACAGGCCCTCACGATGACAACATGCTGTTTCTCCTTACATTTGAGTTAGTGAGTGAGTGAGTTGGGTTTAAAGCCGCTTTTAACAGTATTCCAGTTACATCGCGGCGTGTCAGCTTAATGTGGGAGGAAAGCCCGAAGTGATGCAGGTCTGAGACGTTTATCACTTCGGTGAAACCCACGAGCACGGGTATGGTGCTGACAAACCTAGAAACATAATCAAAACTGTGAGTGAGTGAGTGAGTTGGGTTTAACGCCGCTTTTAACAGTATTCCAGTTATATCGGGGCGTGTCAGCTTAATGTGGGAGGAAAGCCCGAAGTGATGCAGGTCTCAGACGTTTATCACTTCGGTGAAATCCACGAGCACGGGTATGGTGCTGACAAACTTAGAAACATAATCGGGGCGAACCGGGATTCGAACCCACAATCATAGGTTTCTGGCGTGCTCAGGGGACGGAACTCTGCACAGCGAATCACGGCGCCTTAGACGACTGGGCCACCCGTGCCCCCCCTTACATTTGAAAAACATAAATGAGTTACCTTGATGATGTTCTGGAGAACATGGGCGTTGATGACAGCCGGGTGTTTGGCGTTTTGTCGGTACAGATCAACCACCATCTCCACAGCTTTTTCAGAGAAGGGAACAAAGTTCATGGTTACCCAGTCCACCTGAAACACATTTCACATGTATTTTCAAATAACTGTCTAAATAAAAGAAAATTAAAATTTCTTAGATTTTTTTTTGAGACAGGTCTTTACATTTAAATGCCTGCACACAATATCATGGATGCTGTCACAAGGAATTGGTTTAAGGAGGGACCAAAAGCACCTGATGGAGCGACTGACACAGGCTGATACCAGGTGTCGGGAGAGTGAGTGAGTGAGTTTAATTTTAAGTCACATCGGCAATATTGCAGCCATATCGTGACTATCAAGGGTTAAACATAATAAATATTTTGAAACTTATATAAAAACCTGCCAACGAAGGACAGTAAAATAACTAGACTTATCACAGAAAAAGATATACCGTATTCGACGTAATAAGCACCCAGGGCGCTCTCAAAATTAGAAACAGGGGGCTCTTATTAGAGCATAAGTTTGGTGAGAAAAAAAGAGAGTTGAAAGATCGTAAATTTCGTGGTTTTTGCTGACAGCCTGAAATGATACAGAAGAAAAGTCTGTGCGTATCATACACGACAGATTATATTTTCCAGAATTTAATTGCCCATAATTAAGGGTGCACATAACACACGAGTGTGTATTATACACGAATTAAGAAGTCTTGTGTACAATGATCAATTTGAAGGGATGTTAATTGGGATTGTTCACTAGCCAATATATTAGCAAATATCTCTGTGGAAGCTTATTAGGACGGGGCGCTTATTACGTCGTATACAGTAAAACAAGTATGGAATCATAAAAAAGTATAGCACTTTTCATAACAATAACATGATAAAAACGGGCTAGAGATCGCCATCCTCAAACACTGGGGTGTGGGATAAGTGGTACTGACCACTAAGATGAGAAAATTGCTGGTTCTAGGCCTTTAAATAGATATATTTTCATCGCCTCACATCAAATTATTGACCTTAGGCACTTAGAGATCTGCTATGTGTGTCCCTCATTTTCTTTACAAAGTAAACCAAACCCTTTTTTTATTGATGTTTCGGTATAGATCCTTACAAAACATCGCTATTATACTGTAATAAAGAAGTTGTTATGCATAAAAAAAATTTCTACTTTGTCATCTGTCAACTTCTAAGAAATGCCTATCAAACAATTCTATTTTCTTTACTTGATGAAAAACACAATATATGTATATCATCATAGTAAACAGTCATGCTTTTTGTGAATCACATCAGTCTAGTGAGCGTACACAGATGCCACATTTGTTAAATAATATATTTATAAAAATATGCCTCCTTCTTCACAGTTTTACAAAATAATTAGTCTCAATTATCTGCCGGGGTGGTCAGGTAGCCTAGTGGTCACGCCGAAGACCACGGTTCGATTCCCGACATGGGTTCAATGTGTGAAGCCCATTTCTGGTGTCCCCCGCCGTGATATTGCTGGAATATTGCTAAAAGCGGCGTAAAACCATACTCACTCACTCAATTATCTGCTAAAACAATCATAAAAACTATATAAATGGATCACTGAAAATCAGTGATACCACCAGGTGGCCTATGTGTACATGAACAGAACAGGTATCTCACTCAGTACTTCAGCAGTAATAAGATTGGAAGCAGTTCCTGTTTCCAAATAGGGCCACAGCTCTAAAAATTGAATTTTGATTTGAATGCAATGAACGTATCTCAGGTAATGATGTTAGACATACTTCATCAGGTTCATTTCATTGAAAAAAACATAAATGGACCAATGGACACACAACGGATATAGCCATGACATCAGCCCACTTGCCCCTTCATCCTAGTGAGGTAAAGTCTTCGGCATATGTTTTTCCTCCCCACGAGCGTGTTCCAAACGTATCGAACCTCTATTTTATTTCTATTATTGGTTCTGTTTTTAAACAATGTTTCAAGTTTCAATTTTTGCTACATTTTATTTTTTGGTTTTGATATTTTGACACAATATAAGTTTTATTGCAATAGTATATTTATAGAGCATTTGTTAGGAAAGTATATCTGTGTCCTGCAAAATGATGTTTTCCGTCATCACCTGTGGCCCCTTGACTGTGCCGAAAGCCTTTGTCTCTATGCCACCATACTTTGGTGCTCGGACTCCATACTGGATGAAGGTCAGAAGCTGGTTGAAGATGTCAGGGTACATGGACTGCATAGAGTCTGGGCCGGTCTTCACCGTCTGAAACACCAATATCAAGTCTAGTGAGCTTGGGATCGAACAACCCCACCCATCACACCCCACACACACCTCACACACCCATCACACCCCCAACACACACCCTACACACCCACCACACACCCATCACACATCCCACACACCCATCACACCCCCAACACACACCCTACACACACACCACACACCCATCACACATCCCACACACCCATCACACATCCCACACACACATCACACATCCCACACACACATCCCACACACCCATCAGCACCCCCCCCCACACACACACACATCCTTCACACCCATCACACCCCCACCACACACCCATTAGCACCTCCCCCCCCCACACCCATCACACCCCCACCACACACCCATCAGCACCTCCCCCCCACACACACATCCCACACACCCATCAGCACCCCCCCACACCCATCACACATCCCACACACCCATCACACATCCCACACACCCATCAGCACCCCCCCACACACACACATCCCACACACCCATCACACACCCACACACCCATCACACATCCTACACACCCATCACACACCCATCAGCACCCCAACACACACATCCCACACACCCATCACACCCCCACACACCCATCCCACATCCCACACACCCATCACACACACACACACACATCCATCACACCCCCACACCCCCATCACACATCCTGCACACCCATCAGCACCCCAACACACACATCCCACACACCCATCACACCCCCACACACCCATCACACATCCCACACACCCATCACACACCCATCAGCACCCCAACACACACATCCCACACCCCCATCACACACCCACACACCCATCACACATCCCACACCCATCAGCACCTCCACCCCCACACACACATCCCACACACCCATCACACACCCATCAGCACCCCCCCACACACACACACCCATCACACATCCCACACACCCATCAGCACCCCCACACCCCCACACATCCCACACACCCCCACACACCCATCCCACATCCCACACACCCATCAGCACCCCAACACACACATCCCACACCCCCATCACACCCCCATCACACATCCCACACACCCATCACACACACATCAGCACCCCCCCCCCCCACACACACACACATCACACACACCCCCACACACCCATCACACATCCCACACACCCATCACACACCCATCAGCACCCCAACACACACATCCCACACACCCATCACACCCCCACACACCCATCACACATCCCACACACCCATCACACACCCATCAGCACCCCCCCCCACACACACACATCACACACACCCAACACATACCAGTAGATCTGTCAAGGACACTTCCCCCCAAAATGATAAGTTTAAATCCCCCTTCCTTCCACCCTTGCAGAATACATCACTTGTGTAAAGATTGTATTTGGTAAACACTGCATTCAGTAATATTGCAGGTGGCATGGACGGCCCTGTCGTCTACAGCACGACAATTCTTAGTACAGAAATGTGTCCCTTAAGCCGAAAAGAAACCAATGATCGCGAGTTTGAATCCTTTTGGAACCTGATTATGTTTCTTTCTTTCTTTGTTGTTTAACGCCGCACTCAGCAATATTCCAGCTATATGACAGCGGTCTGTAAATATTGGAGTCTGGGCCAGACAATCCAATGATTGACATCATGAACATCGATCCACGCAATTGGAATATGATGACATGCATCAACCAAGTCAGCAAGCCTGACCACTAGATCCTGTTAGTCACCTCTTACGACAAGCATAGTCGGTTTTTATGGCAAGCTTGGGTTGCTGAAGACCTATTCCACCCAGATCTTCACAGTTCTGATTAAATATATATATGGGGAATATATATGTGAATCATTACGCAACAATTCTTTTAGCTATGCACATTGTGCTTAGACGGAACCCAGTTGCAAAAAATGGCCATGAGAGGGGAACGAGTCACTATTCGGCTTGTCCCAGAATAACACGAGTTGGTCACGAATGAGGTACACGGTTCACTGCAAAGAACTCTTGGTATGAGAGTGATTTCAACATAGAAGTTACCCTGATGAGAACATCGACCACTTGAAGGCCAGTTTCTTGTAGTGGTGTAATGATGACATCAGGATACGTTGGGATAATGAACGGCGAGGCTTCCCCCTGCACAGGCACGGACAGCGCCCGCCGCAACACCGTCGACAACTTGTGTAAGTCAGCAGTCACAAAACGGATTTTGATGTGCATGAAAAGAGCTGGAAAAGTTTGAAGAAGAGCCGTCAAGAAATGTTGCGAAGGGACATAAACTTTTTGTGACTTGTCCACATTCTCTGGAGGTTGTGTTGCGATCTGGCCAATATTCAACCAGACTTTCCAGGCTGCCATCCACAGAGAAAGATCACTGTCCGAGTCGGTAGTGTTTTCCGAAGCTTTTGTTTGGGTGTGTGATTTGACGTCACCAGTTCGGTTGATGACCTCCTCGAGGGGAGGCTGGATAAAGTCAGAGGTCAGGTCCTGGAGATCTTCAGGTTTAGATGGATCTCTGTTTATCAGGATCTCCTGGAAGCTCTTCAGGGCTGCCAGAGAGACCTCAGCATTGGGGCACATGGCTGCGGATTCTATGTGGTCCAGCAGCAGGGACCAGGCTCGGGGGAAGTCACCTGAAAAGGATAAATTTGATCCGTCATCATGACATTTCATATTTATTCACTATATTAACATACAAGAGTGAGTGAGTGAGTGAGTATGGTTTTACGCCGCTTTTAGCAATATTCCAGCAATATCATGGCGGGGGGACACCAGAAATGGGCTTCACACATTGTACCCATGTCGGGAATCGAACCCGGGTCTTTGGCGTGAAGAGCGAACACTTTAACCACTGGGCTACCCGACCGCCCCGTACATACAATTTTTATGGATGGCAACTTCTTTTATTCTTGACATTTCACAGCTACTTCTTGCTCCTTCATCAGGTGAATGAGTGAGAGAGTGAGTTGGGTTTGACGCTGCTTTTAACAGTATTCCAGTTATATCACGGCGTGTCAGCTTAATGTGGGAGGAAAGTCCAAAGTGATGCAGGTCTCATAAGAGCACGGGTATGGGTATGGTGTATGGTGCTGACAAACCTAGAAACATAATCGGGGCAAATCAGGATTCGAACCCACAATCATAGGTTTCTGGTGTGCCCAAGGGACGCAACTCTGCACAGCAGATGACTGGGCCAACCTCGGCCCCATAAGGTGAATGTAGAAGCAAAAAGCAGATCTGAAACATCGTGACAAAGAATAAAATAACTTGCTATTCATAAAAAGTGTCATGTAGTCATGTCATGAGGAGATGAAATATCCCCCATTTTGCAAATATGGAATGGTTTTCGAGGTTCTACAGACACAACCTTCAATTGATCCTAAGTCAAAGTTGTTTCTATGGTAAACGATTCCTGTACAGCTTAAAAACCTACTTTACCATTAGATTGATATGAGTGCATATATGCTGAACAAAAGCTATATATCCTGAATTATCATCATCATCATCATTATTATTATTATTATTATTATTATTATTAGATATTTTTATGTAATTGTGAGCTCAGTCTTCACAACAAAAAACATCCCCTAAATTGTCATGATCCCTAACTTAATTTGTCCAGTATATTTGTTAAGAAATGGAATGTCATTCGTCAAAAGAATGATGGCATTTTCAGACATGTTACGAAATCTGCCTGAGGCTTGTTGACCAAAAAATACTAACTACTGTCAAAAGTGTTTTATACAAATATTCATAATCCTTTCTACAACAGCAAGAGGTACTGGATTCTAGTCTGCCCTGGAACCATCAAGAATGAGTGAATCCTCTAGATAAATCAACCAGAAACACTAAGGTGTCTGATTTTGTATTTATTATTTTTGCAGATTCATTGACCCTACAAGTCAGGAAATGGAAAACCCCCCGAAAGTTCTCTTTCTTTTAATATCACACACCCGAGGCTGATAATTTACAATTATAAAAAGACGTATCACAAGAGTCATAGCCATGATGAATTGAACTCATTGCCTCCCCCATACTCCAAGCAGTGTGTTTTTGTTGTTATATTTCTGACATACTTCACTAAAGCACAAAATGTAACAGAATTTTGGTTTTTGTTGTTTCTTCATCCTACAGACTCAATTTTTACACCAACAAAAATATGAACATTAAAAATTGAAAGTATTTATATTTTATATTTTATTTAAACCATCGACCAACGAATAAAAAAGAAAAGCCCTAATATGGACAACTCAATAGAATTTAAAGAACACACAATTCTTTCATATTACTATACCTAATAACATGACAGATTAACTATAGAAATATGAAAGAATTGGGTGTTCTTTAACTTCTTTTGAGTAGTATATGTTCTTGGAAGTGTTTTGGTATTATGTTTGATATTGGTGACAGTGATTTGTGTCATAATAGTTGACAATGGTACACATCTTAAATCATTCACGGCAGTCTCAATCCTATCTTTAGGTTTAGGAATCCAAGTGATGTTCCAAGTGCAATAAAGTATTTGTTCGACAGACACTCAAAGGCTTTCATGGACATAAATCCGCCAGTACACTATCAGAATGAAGTTTGAGAATTAATGATTCATATATCAGCTAGTCAGTCCTTACGACCACTTTGATGTTCCCTCACAGCGATGAAGCCCTGCTCTTGACAAGTTTAACTTTCACTATGCACTAAAGAGGACTTATTTCAGTTTGAGACACATCTTACCGTATATGACCGCGGATAAGCCGATCCCGTAGATAAGCCGAGGTGCTAACTTGACCATTGAAATACGAGAGAAAATGATATGACCCGCAGATAAGCCGAACCAGGAAGTGAAAGGCAAAAAACACTGTGAAGTCGGACTGCAAGACATATGCGGTACTCGCAGATATTAAAAAATATAACATGGAAAACGTAATTATATTGAAAAAGACATATTTATTTCTAATAAAGATTTAACAAACCAGTCATCCACTTTCATAATGTGGGAAGCTGTTTCTCTTGTTTTTTTAAAATCTCATAATGATCGTTATATGTTGCCATCAACAACGAAGCACCATTTTGTGAATCGGTGTATATAGAATTATGAACCCGTGAGAAAATATATCAGCTAGAGCGAAGACTCGCAGTTTGAATTCAGCATTGTAAGCATGGCGTTTCGTTTCAAACTCGTGATGAGATTGTCAGTCAGTTAAAATATACCAACTTTTATAACCCCCTTTACACAACTATTGTATGTTAATCCAATTGAATTAAATAAACTATCATACTATGAACACATTGAATGACCATCACTTACTCACAGGCTTCTCCATTTTATTAAACTAATCTCTCGAAAACAAAGGAATTAAGCCCCTACTCCCAACACGATCGCTAAGCACCCACAACTTGAAAATGTTTGTGTAAACAACATGAGTTAAATAGTTCTGTTATTACTGCTGGTGTTATAATGCAGCCTGGCCACTGGTTGTGTCAGGTATATCCCAACATTGTCTGTATCGCGATGGCTTCAATGTGGACGTGGATCACAATATCTGGTTGTTTGAAATCAAGAGATCATAATATCTGAATCATCAAGGGATTTAATATCTGAGTGTATCATAATGTCTGTTTCTTCCACGGATTCAACATTTGAGTGTATCATAATATCTGTTTCTTCCAGGGATTCAACATTTGAGTGTATCAGAATATCTGGTTGTCTGTAATCAAGAGATTCAACGTTTGAGTTTGTCATAATATCTGGCTGTCTGTAATCAAGAGATCATAACATCTGGCTCATCAAGAGATTCAATATTTGAGAGTATCATAATACTTGCTTCTTCATATTATGACACCCACTGTTTGATAGTACAACAACAGTGTGAATCTAATAAACTCAATCTACATTCTCCTTTCATATTGACAAAGACTAGAACCATACCTCACTTGAAACGACAGTTCTCTATATATCATTATTAGAGATTTCAGAGAAGAGAATGCAGATTACTGGCCTCAGACATCAAAGAAGCGACTAATTTTACCCGAGTGACCCAAAGTCCCCATAACCCGTCTGGAATGTGCATCAGTGATGCTGGCTGACTGAATGTGCATCCAGATGCATCCATGTCTGACTGATGAGTGATTGCATCGAACACCGAGAGTGGGTAATAAATCAACGAGGAGTAATCAAGTAATCACACATTAACTACAATGCGCCTGTTAGTAATTTAAATAATCTTCCTTTTAGTTTCAGCATGATTGTACCATGATGTGTTAGAATCCTGGAATCTGATTGGTCAGCAGCAGTATCAACTTACGCTAGACCATGGTTTTGCTGACGACCGCATCACCAGGAAAGAAAGTATTTATGCAGTGAGTGAGTGAGTGAGTATGGTTTTACGCCGGTTTAAGCAATATTCCAGCAATATCATGGCAGGGACACCAGAAATGGGCTTCACACATTGTACCCATGTGTTTATGTAGAAGCACTCAAAAGGGTGCATGGGAATCACTCACGTTGAGACGCCTAACGCTAACACTGTATTCGTGCGTTCGTGATTCCCGTGCACCCTTTCGAGTTGAGTTGATTGGTTCAACTGTGTCATATGGCCCTGTGACGCAGAGGTAGCATCATGCAGATGGCTGTTTCAATGAATGCTCGTTCCACCCGTGACGAACAGGTCTGGTTGTTGATGAAATATAGTGATAGCTAAATAGACAGATTTTTTATTCATGCACCGATTGTCTTTAAATGTAATATCCAGTTATGTATGACTGTTTAATAATCTCATACCAACTTTGACTGGAGTAGGTCCGATAGTTTTTCAGATATTGTAGTAAAGACTATAGTTTGTCTGGCCCAGACTTGATTATTTTCATGTCGATTTGATATAGCTGGAATATTGCTGACTTTGGCGTAAACCAACTACGTCCTGTGTAATCTATGTTCATACCAAGCTGTTGTAATATTTTCCTCTTGGAGTTGAAGGTCCTGGCTACCCCGGCCAGTGTGAGGACGCGCGTCTCCGCCCACTGCTTCTCCGCGGTGTCGCGGGAGTGGTGGATGAGAATGTTGCCGGTCGACAGCTCATCCTTGATAGTTGATGCACTGCTGGAGAACTTCTGCACCCGCTCCAGCAGGGGAAACAGCACCTGCAACATCAACAACAACAACATCAACATCCTCAACATCAACATCATTTGTAGCTGATTCATTTTATTGACACACCAAGGAAACACTTACATACCATGCCCCCTACTGATTATTTTCCTTTACTCCAGATTTCAGTGGCATCAATGTTTTTGACTTATTTTATTCTACCTGTGAAGATTTGGGGTAAAATAGGTCTTCAGCAACTCATGCTTGCCGTAAAAGGCGACTATGCTTGTCGTAAGATTGGATCGGGTGGTCAGGCGCACAAGCCATTGTACCCCAGTTGTGTGGATTGATGCCCATGATGTCAATCACTAGATTATTTGGTCCAGACTCATTTATTTACAGACCCCGCCATATAGCTGGAATATTGCTGAGTGCGGGGCTAAACAACATGGAAAAGAAACAAAAAAGCTTAATATATCCTGTATAATACTGTTTGTTTACTTAGTATATTCTGTATAATACTGTTTGACTCTTTTAGAGCAATATTTTAGGTCACAGCTGTTAGCTGGTCATTTGTTGAAAGGGTTATGCAGATATCTGTTCAAACCGGCAGTGGATTTTTCATGCACTGCAAATTTCCTTAGATTTTATGTGCGCTTCAGTCACTACATGAACACAGGACATGACCAATTATTTATTGTTCGAAGGAAGAACATACTTTAAATTTATCCTTTTTTTGTAAGGTTCTGCTTTAAAAAGTAAAATATGGGGCATAAAAAATCATACTGAAAGCTTAAATCTAAACAAAAATGAAAAACACATATACATTTTGATTACGCATTTGATGGACCAGTAGTCTACAGGACTGAAGAAATAAATGTTACTGTTTTCTGTTGGGATACGCACATAGAGCCATTCCCAAAATCTTAAAGTGAAGCAGGTGTTAGGCATTTATCTCTTTGGTGAAACCCATGAGCACAGGTATAGTGCTGACAAACCTAAAGTACTCACGGAAATGAAAAAAACCCTGTTTTTTTCGACCTCAGATCTTAAATAAATGCAGTTAATATACAAAATATGTAAATATTCAAACAACTAAATTAGTACTAATTGGTCCGTGGCACAAATACAGCGTATCAAATGTTTTATGCCTTTTTACACGTAAAAGTGTGTATAAATGTGAATAAAACAGACTATTGTGAAACAGGGCATAACCAGGTGTAAGTAGATCAAGGTGACCTATGACACCTTGACGACAGGTGAGAACAGGTGCATAATGCCTATAGTCTGTTTTGCTATGTCAATTTGGACTTAGTTTTATTTTTGAATGTTGAAAGTGCCGACAAATTACCTCCTGTAAAGTACATTTTGTATTGTTCACTGAGATCAAACTAGCAAATCCAGACTTTTCGAGTTGTTTTGGTATTTCGTATTTACAGCTATGTAACACCGTCATCAGTTTCTGCCATGCCTAAGGGACACAACTCTGCACAGTGATTTGTAGCGCCTCAGATAACAGGGCCTGTTGCCAGTGTGCCTCAGGAGCATTTGTCTTTGATATATTTTAGTTACTACAGTGAGGTGGTCCATTGTTGAAATGTGAAGAAATATCTTTAAACCCTGAAGTTGAAATGAAATATTTTGCAAATTTTCGAAGTTTTAAGAGCGCTTCTGTTACTGCTAAACACAGAATATGACAACCTTTAGTCCTGAATGCCCAATTATCAGTATGCAACATGGGCTCACCAATTATTCATTGGTTCACAGAAGACAGTATTTTATAATGTATAAATCATTTTTGTAAGATTCTGCACTGAAAACATCTTCCTGAGGCAGGGGCCTATAAAAGTCCAGTTTCCACCCTTGTCCAGGGAAGATGCATTGAAAATGTCTTTTTACTTTCCGTTTATATCTACAATTATCAATTCAAGATTGTTTCCAAGCAAACTATTCTTAAATGAACAACAATTTCCTGTTTTCAAAATTTGCCTCCTGCTTTTTGCGCAAGGACAAAGATAATCTGTAAAACTAAAAATTAAATTTGCCTAGCCTGGAGTAATGAATCTTAAACGTTTATTCCCACTCCTCTATGAAACCCACCTGCCATAGGACTTTCTTCCATGTCTCCTGCTGCAGTAAGGCGCCATGGGCTGAGATGGTGGAGAAAAGAGTCTGGCCAGCACTCTTGCGTACCGCTGGTCGCGGGTCAACACACAGGTCACCTAGCTTGGAGAACAAGCACATCCACAGAGCGTCAAATGGGAGCATCCCGAGCTTGTTGCGCTCCGACTCCGACAAGTTCTCATCCAGTTCCTGTTTGATTCGTTGCCGATTCTGGTAGAAGAAGTCCGAGATGTTCCACTGCAAGGCAAGGATGAAGATGGCATCAGTTTGATGGGAGAATTATTGATGGTGCTTTACTGGTTGGGTAGCAAGGTGCTGTGAAATAGGGTTTAACATTCCGTTAACGCCAGGCTTTTTTTATATTTAGGATTATGGATTTTTCAGCCCAAAGTCCAGGGTTGGAGGAGGGAAAAAAAGCAAAAAAAAAGCTAGATACTTTTTTTTAATGCAGAATGGCATACTTTATGAACATATTCTTTGCTCAAAAGGCTGCCATTTGTGACGATAAAGCCCCTTGTAACAATAAAAATTCTACCAATTACAACACAGACAATTGTCAAGGGAGGCTATTCATGTTTGGCTTTGAGATCAACAATCTCTTTACTAGTTTACAACAGTAAATTCATGTTTTTTTATTAAAAGGTGATGATAACAAATAAAACAACTAACTACGTGGCTATTGGCGGACAAAAAAAATTGGAAATATGATTTTATTTTTTTACATTTTCTCAAAAATTAGAGTCGGCGGGTCCGTAATCCGAAAAATATAAAACGCCTGGCCTCAGGGTCATGGCACTTACACAGAGACATGCATGTGTGTGTGTCTGCTTGTACAAGTCCAGACTATTGGCCACTGAGATACCATGCCACAGTTTAACATGGATACCCCACTCAGACGCAGCATACTGACTCCAAGCCGACCAGTCCTTGTTTTAGACCCTTAATGCCAAGCGCCGGGCAGTGCCATCCTTACTGCAGGTGGGTACGATAAAACTTGTTGCATACAACATTGCATCATGCGAACTTGCAACTGGGACATGAGTTGTATGACATAGAACAAGCGACAAGTGTGTTTGCAGCCAATTAAAAAGTCATTCAGACATAAGCACTATGTTGGACTAGTGAGTGAGTGAGTTGAATTGTAGGCCATTTTTAACAGTATTCCTGTTATATCGCGGCGTGTCAGCTTAATGTGGGAGGAAAGCCTGAAGTGATGCAGGTCTCAGACGTTTACCACTTCGGTGAAACCCACGAGCACGGGTATGGTGCTGACAAACCTAGAAACATAATCGGGGCGAACCAGGATTCGAACCCACAATAATAGGTTTCTGGAGTGTCCAGGGGATGCAACTCTGCACAGCGAATCGCGGCACCTTAGACGACTGGGCCACCTGTGCCCCCCTATGTTGGACTACATTAACCATTAACCAAACCAGTTTTATACTTGCAAAGATTTTTCCACCATGAGAAAGAAAAAGCAATAACATATTTGACATAATAAGCGCCCAGGGCGCTCTCAAAATCAGAAATAGGGGGCTCTTATTAGAATATTATTTTGGTGATAAAGAAAGGGAGTTGAAAGATCGTAAATTTCGTGGTTTATGCTGACTGCCTGAAATGTTTATAGAAGACAGATATATTTTTCCAGAATTTAATTGCCTATAATTAAGGATGCATATAACACACTTATTATACATGAATAAATAAGTCTTGTGTACATTGATCAATCGGAAGGGGGGCTAATTGGGATTGTTCACTAGCCAATATATTAACAAATATCGTCGAGGGCGCTTATTAGAGCGGGTGCTTATTACGTCGAATACGGTACTCAGTGGAACTGTAAAGTCAGAGGTGGGTGCAGTGCAGCGTGACCATGGTCGTTGCACAATGTTAATTATTCAGTGCTGCTTGTGTGTCACAAAGCCATATTCGAAAGCCAGGTTTCAAAGTTGAAACGATGAACTCAAACACTGTATTTCTAGGCATAGTCCGGGACCTAACAAGATCCAAATTGTAACAACTTGTCACAGTGAGAACGCCAAATTACATAATTTAATTCATACAACTAATTGTACCATGTGAACAGACTGAAAGTTCAGGTGAGCTAACAGGTCAATCAAATTTTTTGTAGAAACATAGAGATAATGGATCTCAACTCATTCTGAGATAGGGGGGGTCGGGTAGCCTAGTGGTTAAAGCGTTCGCTCGTCACGCCGAAGACCCGGGTTCGATTCCCGACATGGGTACATTGTGTGAAGCCCATTTCTGGTGTCCCCCGCCGTGATATTGCTGGAATATTGCTAAAAGCGGCGTAAAACCATACTCACTCATTCTGAGACAAAAAGCTTTAAAAAATCCACATACCAGCAACCCGATGGCGGTGAGACTGACGTTGAGTTCCTGGTTCTGTAGACCAAACTTGGCAGCAACGTCCACGCACACCTGCAGATAGATGCTTGGGATTATGGGCAGGAAGTCCGTCACAACGAGTTGGAGAGACTGGAATGCCATTTGAACCAGCTTCTCCCTGAAACCAAACACAAAAAAAACCGTATGAAACATGATTATATTGTAAAGTTGCTATTTGAAATTGTTTGTTTGTTTGTTGTTTGACACAACATTCAGCAATAATCCACCTATATGTCAGGAACCTGTAAATAGGCGAGTCTAGACCAGACAATCCAGTGATTGATATCATGAGCAACAATCCATTGCGATACAAGGACACACAATCAACCACCCTACTGAGACTGGCCACTCAAACCATTTGGTCACCTCTTACAACCAGACCCGTGAAGATCCGGGGTAGAATAGGTCTTCAGCAGCCCATGCTTGCAGTAAGAGGCGACCAACGGGATCGGGTGGTCAGGCTTGCTGACTTGGTTGATGCATGTCATCGATCCCAATTGCGTGGATCGATGCTCATGATATTGATCACTGGATTGTGTGGTCCAGACTTGATTATTCACAGACCACCGTCATACAGCTGGACTATTGCTGAGTGCGGCGTTAAACAACAAACCAACCAACCACTAGCAGGGTGTACAAGATTTCATGAGCTGAATGGGCTTTTAAATCATGAGCACGAAGGTTGAGTGGTTAGCACAAACATGCAGTCCTAAAAATCATGAGAACGAAGGTTGAGTGGTTAGCACAAACATGCAGTCCTAAAAATCATGAGCACGAAGGTTGAGTGGTTAGCACAAACGTGCAGTCCTAAAAATCATGAGCACGAAGGTTGAGTGGTTAGCACAAACATGCAGTCCTAAAAATCATGAGCACGAAGGTTGAGTGGTTAGCACAAACGTTCAGTCCTAAAAATCATGAGCACGAAGGTTGAGTGGTTAGCACAAACGTGCAGTCCTAAAAATCATGAGCACGAAGGTTGAGTGGTTAGCACAAACGTGCAGTCCTAGAAATCATGAGCACGAAGGTTGAGTGGTTAGCACAAACGTGCAGTCCTAAAAATCATGAGCACGAAGGTTGAGTGGTTAGCACAAACGTGCAGTCCTAAAAATCATGAGCACGAAGGTTGAGTGGTTAGCACAAACGTGCAGTCCTAAAAATCATGAGCACGAAGGTTGAGTGGTTAGCACAAACGTGCAGTCCTAAAAATCATGAGCACGAAGGTTGAGTGGTTAGCACAAACGTGCAGTCCTAAAAATCATGAGCACGAAGGTTGAGTGGTTAGCACAAACGTGCAGTCCTAAAAATCATGAGAACGAAGGTTGAGTGGTTAGCACAAACGTGCAGTCCTAAAAATCATGAGCACGAAGGTTGAGTGGTTAGCACAAACATGCAGTCCTAAAAATCATGAACACGAAGGTTGAGTGGTTAGCACAAACGTGCAGTCCTAAAAATCATGAACACGAAGGTTGAGTGGTTAGCACAAACGTGCAGTCCTAAAAATCATGAGCACGAAGGTTGAGTGGTTAGCACAAACGTGCAGTCCTAAAAATCATGAGCACGAAGGTTGAGTGGTTAGCACAAACGTGCAGTCCTAAAAATCATGAGCACGAAGGTTGAGTGGTTAGCACAAACGTGCAGTCCTAAAAATCATGAGCACGAAGGTTGAGTGGTTAGCACAAACGTTCAGTCCTAAAAATCATGAGCAACCCCAAGAGACATGTAACAAATTGAGTTAACAAGCAACAAAGACATTATTTCAGGGAAACATATTTCTGTGACAATTACTGCTACCTTGTCATTGCCATCTCTAGGGAACCAAAAGCGTAAACAGGTTCAATTATGACATGGCAAACAAAGGCAAACAATTATGGGTTTTCATGGAGGTATTAATAAACAGTTATTGATTCCATGACATTTGATTGGCTGACCAAGCTAGGCAGAATTACACAGAATACACACTGGTCTTAACATTTATGCTTCCCTAAAATGCAAAAGATATGGAAGTCAGTTCCTACATAAACGTAAATATTTGGAAACACCGGTATCGGGGGGCCTATTCTTACCTGGAGTCCCCAGGGTGTAACTGACACTGTCTTGTGGGGACAACCCAATACCCACGGTCGGGTAGCCTAGTGGTTAAAGCGTTCGCTCGTCACGCCAAAGACCTGGGTTCGATTCCCGACATTTGTACAATGTGTGAAGCCCATTTCTGGTGTCCCCCGCCGTGATATTGCTGGAATATTGCTAAAAGCGGCGTAAAACCAAACTCACTAACGCACTCACTCACTCACTACCTACCCCTGCTGGTTGTTGACGGCACCGATGACGCCCAGGATAAGAGGCCAGCCATGGGACAGCGTGTCGCCATTGTTGTGAAGGATCTGATGGACACACTCCAGCTGTTTCTGTCTGACGTCGCCCTGATTGATGACGGACAACTCCTGGAGGGGCGCCATGATGGTGGACTGCAGCTTCTGAAACAAATATCAAATTAACATTTTGTGCAACGACAAAAAAACAAGTAGTATGATAAAATACAAATTTATTAATATTTTGGCAAAATGGGGGCTGACTCGGTTGCTGCTAATGAGAAGGATGATTTTGGAAGAGAGAGCCACAGAGAGGTATCGGTGTCCTGGGGTCGAAGACCTGGACGACCTCTGCATTGTTTCAGGGGTGCTCCTGACCCGGACTAGGGATATCCAGGCCTGGGGTCACCGCAACCCCGTCATCCCTGGGTGAGGTGAAATTGGGTTTAACGTCGCGTCCAAGATTATTGCACTTATATAGCGACGTGCATGCACGTGTATGTGTGTGTGTGGCTGCTTGTACTAGTCCGGACTGATGCCGATTTATAGTGCTAGCTCACTGAGATACCATGCCGCAGTTTAACATTAATACCCCACTCAGACACAGTATACTGACTCCGAGCCGACCAGTCCTTGTTTTAACCCCTTAATGCCGAGCGCCAGACAGGGTAACAACAAGTACAATCTTTTAACGTCTTTTTGTATGACGCGGCCCGGGATCGAACCCTGGACCTTCCGCTCTCCGGGCGGACGCTCTACCACAAGACCACGGAGGCGGTCTGTCATCCCTGGGGTGCTCCTGACCCAGCCTAGGGATATCCGGACCCGTGGTGTGAATGTGGCTGCTCCCTATGAGTTGGGGGAAAACCCAATCAGCGTGTTATGGGCTTCTCCGACATTAAAGGGGCACTGATCTAACGCAATTCCCCGGACTGGTTGTTGCCTTTGTTATTGTTTTTTCCCCGTGAGTACCCGGATAATACGCAACGCAACTGAGCATGACAAGAGGCTGGGCTACCGTCTGCAAGGACAGCTAAATTAACTTGGAGGCTGGAGGCAATATTTGTTTTACGCATTTTTGAACACTGATTGGTTAACTGTAATCTATAAAGATTTCGACAAAGGGCGCATGTTAATTAATTTCTTCAGCCTAAACAAACAGACAAAAAGAACGGCGGAGCTCATCGGATGTCGTCATTTGGAAATACCCCAGATGGTTATAGTTTAATAATAAAAAAAGTATCCATGCAGTGAATTGCGGATTGCGTCGATAATACGATTACTACTCCCTTGTTGTCATCCACGTTTTCTGGTATAACCCTACACTTGTGTATTTGTCGTCATTCACTTGATGCTCAGTTAATGAATTTATTACAGGTACAATTAGTGGTAGCACCACTTAGATTACCTGACAAAGGTTCCCATTTGGCATTTATTGTGTCTGGGGTAATTATTTAATCTAAATCCAGGTTTGAAGTGAGGTGAAATGTGTGTTATGTAATATGCAAGTGACAGCCCTGCAAGAGGTGAATGATCAGTTGATTTACTTTTTTGTAAATCAACGGATCGTTCCTAGTCATCAAAGGATTAACAGAAAATACGTTGATTGATTAATCACTGTTATCTTGCACAGTGGATATGTCAAAAGTGAGTGTTTACATGTCTAGGTTTACTAAAACAAAGGGAATACACTCATATCATGGCGTGAAGTGCCGATGTAAAAACAACATACTTTGTTCAAAGGGTTAACTGATAATACGTTGATTGATTGCTCATTGACAGAGACACGTGACATCGAATAAGTTTCTTTGTACAGCTGCAGACGAGTGGGATATTGTTCTTTTGTGTCGATATTCACGGATACATTCCTCGAACAAGGAAGCTGCCTAAAATTTATACACATAAGTTTGGTAGGTTGTAATTATGGTATTTGCATTTTGTTTTCCTTCATTTGCTGTAGCATTGAACCGATTCGTTCTTGTCTTGGTTGGGAAATTCTTCAATGTGCGATAGACATTGTTTTCACAAGTCTTTTCCTTTGTAAGCGTGTATATATTACCGTCAATTTGTCAAATGTGATTCTCTCAGGCAATTTATAAAATCTGTAAATATTCATTTTGACTGAAAAATCTGTCCAGATTGACTAAAATGGATTAAGACGATCGAAAGGGCCGAAAAACATCACAACAAATTATTATGTAGGATTAGAAGCCAAACAACATAGAAATGTTTTCAACGTAACATTTTCAGTCTCTCGGTGATGACATTAAACATCAAAATGTTTGGAATTCGTTATCATAATAATACAGATGGAAATGTTTTTCAGTCACTTTGTAAAATAACTGAATATTTAGGCGTTTAAAAAATTTGAAAATGTTACACATTTTAACAGTAAAAAATATACACACTATGAAAAAAGCAATGCTTAGGTGAAATATTTACTTTGTGTTGCAAGTCAAAATAGTGTAAACGAAAATCGCAAAATTACCAAGCAAGTGACTTATCAAAACTTCGTCACCATTACCGATGCTACCCACAAAGATACCTACATTTCCTTAATATCTCGAAAACTGTATTTCATTTTGTGGATCAATGTGACCATACGCCCTTATTACTACCGATAAAAGTGACTAAAAATATGCGCTTACGAATGGCGCAGCAGAGGTCGCGAACTAGTCTATATTTCTGCTATACATCCGGGTACTCACTGGGAAAAAACAATAACAAAGGCAACAACCAGTCCCGGGGAATTGCTTTAGATCAGTGCCCCTTTAAGCAAGAGAGTCAATGCTGTAGCTGGTTTCCAGAAACATCACTCGGTTGTGAGTCTGGATTGGAATAACCAGACTTCAATAGTAGGACCCAAACTCTCAGTGAGTGACTGGTTTTAACGCTGCATTAAACATGCTTCGGTGGCATGGGTGGTCGAGTCATCTGAGGTGACACAATTGGATGCGAAAGGCCAGAAACCTATGACGGTGGGTTTGAATCCCGGATTTGCTCTCCTCATGTTTCTATGTTTGTCAGCTCCACGACTGTGTTCATGGGTTTCAACAAAAGTGATAAATGTCTAAGACTTATATAATATATAAATTTTATCATAATATTTTGGTATATAGTATTGCGATAAGTATCACAAAATATTACATTATTCAAAATTTTGAATTCAGAAGCAATTTGAAACATCAATGATGGAATTGAAGTTCATAAATGTGGGGGAGGTTGAGTAGCCTAATTGGTTAAAGCGTTCGCTTATCACGCCGATGACCCGGGTTTAATTGCCGACATGGGTACAATGTGTGAAGCCCATTTCTGGTGTCCCCTGCCATGATATTGCTGGGATATTGCTAAAAGCGGCGAAAAAACATACTCACTCATAAATGCTGGCACAGCAGAATGTTTACTCATTCAATACATACGCACGGATGCACAGTGTGGGACAGTGATGACTTGGTGTTTAACCACTGCCCTAGAAGACCTCAAGAATGCAAACTTGCATTTTGGAATTACGGAAACATTTTGAGTGAGTGAGTGAGTGAGTGAGTGAGTGAGTGAGTGAGTGAGTGAGTTGGGTTTAACGCCGCTTTTAACAGTATTCCAGTAATATCGCGGTGTGTCAGCTTAATGTGGGAGGAAAGCCTGAAGTGATGCAGGTCTCAGACGATTACAACTTCAGTGAAACCGACGAGCACAGGTATGGTGCTGACAAACCTAGAAACATACTCCGGGCGAACCGGGATTCTAACACAATCATAGGTTTCTGGCGTGTCCAAGGAACGCAACTCTGCACAGCGACGTGCACACCTTGATTGAAAACATGAAAATATTTGGAAAATATCTGTTGACGCCAAGGTGACGGTGCACCTGCTTTGCAAATCTTGCATTCAATCTAATTCTGCATGGCAGTTTATGAACCAGATGTCGATTTTGTTACGGGATTTTGATTGGACTTTGCATAGACTTGTTAGTCCAGCCAAACTCCTTAATACCAGCCTAGTTCGGGAAGAAGGCTTATGTTGAAGCACTGGGGTTACAACAGTCTCAGTACTAAGATCATTTCGTGCACATGGGCACTGGTTTTATAATCAAGGATATGTAATGGATAAGGTATGAGATTGGCACCTTTTGGCCAACAGGATCGCCTAATTTAAGACTTTGATATGAAAGTTATCAGACGTGTTCATGTGAATGAAAACTAGACAGATAAAATGGTTACCTATCATCTAATGTCTGAAAAATTTCAAAGTTTTCTCTAACTTTAAAATGTGACATTTCCAGTGGGACAAAAACCTATTTCACCCTTTACTAAAACAATTATGATTACTCTAAAATTCCTATTTTAAAAATAACTGAGAGATAAGAAAATTTCCAATATATTTATTTTATTGCTTGTCCACGAATGCAAGATTTTACTGGTGCTTCAAAAGCTTTTCTAACGATTCTTAAAGTTAGCATTTAACTTGAAATATTTTCAAAGTTGGTGAAAAAGCAAAAGGCACACATTACTACTATCAACTTGCACTTAAAAATGGTGATTATGAAAATAATATGTTGAAACTTGATAAATTAAAAGCAGGAACGCTTTTAAGGAAATGATAAGATTTACATGGTTATCTCCCTTTGACCATGATCCCTTTTCTTAGCCACCCATGGATTGTATGGAAGAGGCATTCTAGAAACCAGTCAAAAATAAGAACACAAGCAGCTTAATGTATAGTAAAAAACTGATCTTTCTTATCATTTCTGTGTACATAAACAAAGGAAAATTATACATATCTTCATAAAATTCCAGTTATACATAAATTTTCTTAACCCACCAAAATGCATTCAAGGAAACAAATCCACGAATTTGAGTAGAAGTCCCCAGATAGGCTAAAACTATAAAGAATCATACTGACAAAGTGTGAATATATCTTATAATACTGCTTTCAAACAAACATCAGTACATCATGTTGATATACCTTGTAGTGTGAGTGACACTGACTTCAATAGGGAATTAATTCTTGTACCTTCTCAAACTAAATGAGTATGGGCTTTTTTTTTAGTGACATTATATATTTATACAATAACCAACAAACTACAAGCAGTTTTTGATTATCTGGCTTGAAAGAAAGAATGGTGTTAATCCCAAGCCGTAATCCATAATTTCCAGTTATTGGGAGATTATTCTATATATACTGGAATTATTTTTTTTAAGGGATCATGAATATATTTGGGGATATTGTTTTGTAGTGAAGATTGAGCACACAATTTTATAAAAATATTCCCAAATATAATCGTGATCCCTAACCATTTTTAAATAGGTTATGCTATATATACTGAGCAAAAAATGTCAGGGATCATTAATGTTTTAGGGGGTATTTATTTTTGTAGTTGGTTGGTAGGCTGTTTTTTTGTTTAACCCCGCTCTCAGCAATATTCCAGCTATATGACGGCGGTCTGTAAATAATCAAGTCTGAACTATACAATCCAGTGATTGATATCATGAGCATCAGTCTATGCCAATGGGATATGACATGCATCATCAACCAAGTCTGCGAGCCTGACCGACCGATCCCGTTAGTCGCCTTTTACAACAAGCATAGTCACCTTTTACGGCAAGCATGGGTTGTTGAAGACCTATTCTCTCCCCGAATCTTCACGGGTGTTTTTTTGTTAGTGAAGACATCAATTTCATAAAAATATTTCCAAATATATTCATGATACCTAACCTTTTTATGTTTGGTATATTACTCATTGACATTTTAAAAGAGAAACTGAAGATACAAAAGGGTATATGAAATGTCATCCTAGAGAGTAACTTCACTGAAGGCAGCCAATTGTTCAGATGATGTTATATAAGCAGTGTGTGATTTTCATGAACAATGGATGACATCATGTCACAGTTGTCTCAACTATGTAAGCACATGGTAAGCATTGCGACAGACTGACTTCAATAGACCACTCAACACTGAGTATCTCTAAGATTAGACTAACATCTAGTCTCTGAAATGAACATATCGTACATAAAAAAACAGTTGTTCATTTATCTTAATAAAAATATAATAAAAAGGAGCCCAGTGACTCTCTTCATTTTCAGATACTGCAGTGATCTAGACTTGCCAAACATTATAGACTTGCATGGCTGTATTTGATATATATTTGTATCAGGGTCTGTAAGACAGACTACTCTAAGATGCAAATGTGCAAATATTGGAAAGTTATTACACATGATTATGGTTGATATTGAGGATTTATTACATGTCAGATTGGGATGATATCAGGTATGATATGTTTGTTTGTTTGTTTGTTTATTGTTTAACCCCGCACTCAGCAATATTCCAGCTATAGGATGGCAGTCTGTAAATAATCGAGTCTGGACCAGACAATCCAGTGATTGACATCATGAGCATCGATCTACGCAATTGGCATGGGATGACATGCATCAACAAACTCAGCAAGCATGACCACCCGATCCCGTTAGTTGCCTCTTACGACAAGCATAGTCACCTTTAACGGCAAGAATGGGTTGCTGGAGACCTATTCTACCCTGGATCTTCACGGGTCTGTGTATGATATGAAAACTGCCATATAACAACGTTTATATCGTATACCATAACATCAAATTGTAGAATATATCCATTCGCAAAACATCTCTAAATTCTGTGTATGTCCGGAGAAACATGTTCAGCTTGTTTTACAAGACATTGTCAGGGGTAACCTATCTGAGCAGACGACACACCAAGGGAGGTAACTCTAATGTGTTACCACCCGGTCTGATATTGGTCACCCATTCAAAATGCATTGACAAGCCATATCAGCCCCGCAAGGGGTGTTATATGGGTGTGGTTATTACAGACCCTGTGATATGACCGTCTCCATGTTAGGTCTATCCCATCTTCCCGAGGCAAGAGAGTTAACTGACCATAAAAGTCCAGTTTCCACCCTTGCCGAACTAGGCTGGTATTATGGAGTTACATTTTGGCTGGACTAACGAGTCATAGTCCAATCAAACTTGTGCACCGAAATCGAAATCCAGTGTCAACTGTCGTGCAGATTTCTGTCGATTGCAGGATTTGCAAAGCATGTGCACCGCCAACTCATTGTCAGCAGATATTTTCCACATCTTTTCATGTTTTTAATCAAGGTGCTCGTGTGATTTGATGCATTTTGCGATGTAAGACATCACCATTTTGTGTGAAGCAAACGCAAGTGGTACGAGAGGTGGAATCTGATTGGTCCATAGGAGAGGCTTAGAAGGGACATAACTGGTAATAGCCACTGGTGGCGCTACGATTGAGCCCAGTAATTCCAGCCTAGTTCGGCAAGGGTTGAAACTGGACTTTTAAAGTCATTTAACTCTCTTGCCTCGGGAAGATGGGTCTATCCCACATGCAAAATATGTCTTATCGTTGCTAGGTATATGATAAAAAAGTTTATATACTCACAAGATTGCCATGCAGTGGCGGTTCATATTTGAACATAAGCGCTGCTTTCACTAAGGCTGTGACAGCCTCGGCTCCCCAACTCCTCATACCAGCATAGGGATGCTGACAAACCTAAGACGAACATAATGTTACATATTTATACACAATAACAGTATCTTAAGCAATAAAAATATCTACTCAAGTATTCATTTAAAAATGTCTGAAAATTTCCTTTCAAACAAGTACCCAGAAACTAGGAGTCAATTTTAGAATATTTCTTTTTGCTCATCTTTAGTCAATTTTAAAGGAAATTTTCAAACAATAAAACAAACATATAATCCACTTATTCATATGATACATAATTATATGACATTCAACAAAACAGTATGATCTCTCACAATATTGAATAATACATAAAATGTATGTGTGTGTGTGTGAGCTGGAATAAAAGTCAAGTTGACAAGTCATAAGTTCCCAGTTAGGAAACGCGATAAGTTGACAAAGATCCAGTTCTGAAAATAAAGAGAAAAGATATTAAAACATTCAAATCAATCCTTAAATCACAGCTCCATCGTCTTGATCGTTTTCTGATCGAAACGCGATCCATATACTTAGAATTGATACAATGATCATAGATTTTCCTCTTGGCATTTGGATAATCATTCAGAGTTGGGAAAGCAATGATACCATTTATTACACGGACTTGTCTCTATTAATAAACTTGTGCCAACTTGATACCTGCTAATGAAACCCTGATAGCCTAATACAGTAAATGTATTCATTTAAAACATTTGATTTCTTACATAAGACTTTGCTTTAGGCAGCTAGTATTTAGAGTACATCATAGGCAATTCTTAACCTAAAGTCATACATACCATTCATCTTGACTGCCATCTTGCAAATAACTTGTTAGGCTGGAGCCATCTTTTCTTCAAAACAGCCTGGAAAGAAATATAATTCTTGTGAGAATTTTTCCAAACTGTATGTTGCTAACCTTCTCTGTAATAAAAGCGTATTTTACTGATTTCTTGTCATTCTCTGGTTGACTCCACTGATTGGGATGTCATTGTTTCGTGAGGTGAGGTGAAATGGGGTTTAACATCGCGTCCAAGATTATTGCACTTATATAGCGACGTGCATGTACGTGTGTGTGTGGCTGCTTGTACTAGTCCGGACTGATGCCGATTTATAGTGCTAGCCCACTGAGATACCATGCCGCAGTTTAACATGAATACCCCACTCAGACACAGTATACTGACTCCGGGCCGACCAGTCCTTGTTTTAGCCCCTTAATGCCGAGCGCCAGACAGGGTAACAACAAGTACCATCTTTTAACGTCTTTTGGTATGACACGGTCGGGGATCGAACCCCGGACCTTCCGCTCTCCGGGCGGACGCTCTTCCACTAGACCACGGAGGCGGTCCAATGTTTCATGTTACTTTGCAGTGATATCTCATTCCATAATGAAGGCATAATAAATGGGCCATGTTCTGCAATGGTGTCCTTTTCACAGACACTGGTTATTAGCAGTGTCTCCACTGCATAAACTTTTAGAGGAGTGGGGCGTGAGACTTGCTTGAAAACAAAAGGAGAGGGAGTCTCATCAACTTGACTCCAGGGAAAGGAAAAATAGGGTGAAACTTTCTTGCCAAGGAGAGGAACACAAGGAGGAGACTTACATGTCAAGAATATGAGTGGGGGTCTCACCGACAGGACTCAATATTGTTAAAAAGGGTGAGAGTTTCACAGATTAGACTCTAAGAAAAGGCATCTTCCCGAGGCAAGAGAGTTAACTGACTTTAAAAGTCCAGTTTCCACCTTTGCCGAACTAGGCTGGTATTATGGAGTTACATTTTGGCTGGACTAACGAGTCTATGCATAGTCCAATCAAACTTGCGCACCGAAATCGAAATCTGGTTTCGTTAACTGTCATGCAGATTTCGGTCAACTGCAGGTTTTGCAAAGCATGTGCACCGCCAACTCGGTGTCAACAGATATTTTCCAAATCTTTTCATGTTTTTAATCAAGGTGCTGACGTGATTTGATGCACTTTCGCGATGTAAGATCCGTTTTATCACAATATAGATCTTGGTTATTGATCAGATCGTCTTGACGTGGCACTGTCATTTTGTTTGAAGCAAATGCAAGTGAGACGAGGGGTGGAATCTGATTGGTCCATAGGAGAGGCATGGAAGGGACATAACGTTATAGCCACTGGTGGCGCAATGATCGAGCCCAGGAATTTCACCCTAGTTCGGCAAGGGTGGAAACTGGACTTTTATAGTCGGTTACGGTAACTCCCTTGCCTCGGGAAGATGAGAAAAGGAACAAAAGGGTGAAACTCTCTTTCAAGAAGAGGAGTGAAAGGTTGGTGACATTTGCTTGTCAAAAAGAGGATCAGGGTACAATAACATGGGATCCCTATAATTGCTGACCACCTTTCAGCATCTTTTGGTATGAGTGAGAGAATGATAATTGTTTAAAAAACGGCTTCAACAATCTTGCAGCGATCTTTTGGTACGATATGGCTGGGGATCGAACCGCCGACCTTCTGCTCTCTTGGCAGACACCCAAACCAACAGAACAATGGATTACAATAGATGCTGACTGACGACTTTCATGAAATAACCTTTGAGCCAGATCAGCAAGACAATGGGGTATCATGTTGAGTCTATACGACCTCCATACAATATGAATCTGTTTTTATAAGTTCCATTGTTTTTCCCGAAATGTTATTTGAGAACTGAACTGTCTACATTAATGCTCAGTTTTTGCAATCAATTCTATCACTGTATCATCCAGACATGAAAGTTACATCTCTATCTTCAAAGGATCAAGATTTTGAAAATAAAAGCAAATGCCATCTGAAGATTTACTGAGAAAGTAAAATGTGAAAAGCTGGACTTCTTATTGATAACATCTGTGTAAAACTTGGGGGTAAGATATTTTAGGCAAGACGTCAGCATCCCATGGGCACCAATTGCGTCCCCCTTCTTGCTGATCTTTTTCTTTATGCATATGAGCCGAAGTTCTGCTCAGATTGGCAAAGTCAAAACAAGGTCATTTGGCCAAGAAGTTTAACCTAAGCTTCAGATATCGATGATCTTATATTGTTCAATAACCATCAAATAGGCAGTTCCCTTCCACTGATTTACCCACCTGAACTGGAACTAAAGGAGACCAGTAAAACTGCCTCATATGTGAAATGCTGGATGTCCTCTGAGAGAACGTCCATGTGAAATTTGGGGGACACCAATTGTGATCTCCTGCCTGCTTATCGGATTCTTTTTGCGTAGGAGTCAGAATTTTCTGATCGAATTGGCAAAAAGAAAACAAGGACTTTCGCGAGGTAGTTTAATGTAGGCTTCAGATATATTGATGATCTGATATCGTTTAATCATGGTCAAATAGCCAATTCCCTTCCATGGATAAACACACCTGAGCAAGAAATTTAAAGGACCACTGAAACTGTCTCATATCTCCCCTATTTATATCTTTCATAAAGATTCAGAGTGACAATAAAATATCTACAAAATATTCCAGCATCTCTTTTGAGGTACAATCGAGCATGCTCTTTCTTGCTTGAAATTGTTTGATCTGGGTTACAGTGAGTGAGTGAGCGAGTATGGTTTTACGCCGCTTTTGGTAATATTCCAGCAATATCACGGCGGGGGACACCAGAAATGGGCTTCACACATTGTACCCATGCGAAGGCTTTAACCACCAGGCTACCCGACCGCCCCGATCTGGGTTACAATATTCAAGGCCTCAGTAAAGCTTTCAAACTGTTTTAGGGTAGATATTTTATGTGGGGGAATAATACAAATTTTACACATTGTGGCCAAAATGATGTCTGATGCAATTCCCTATTTTGTCTTGTACCATATGATCCCATGTTTTTTCCAGGTGAACAATTGACTTGCCTTTGCATGTGTTTGTGATGATGCCACAGGTGAGGCAGGATAAGCTCACTTTTTAAGGAACACCTGGTATCACTAATTGATAGTGATTCATAAACACATGCTTTTGATATGATTGGAATCAAACAATGGAGATTTTGTATCATTTTTGTCCAAATAATTATCAATTGCCAAGATATCTTTTTAAACAATGTAAATGGGGTCTAGTAGAGCAGGACACACATCCTTATAGTCAACACTTGGTGTCATCACTGATTTCCCCCCACTAGTTTGCCTTTTACGTCCAATGGAATCTGTTTGGGGAGATAATTGAGACTGGTTAGTCTCTGGCATTGATATTTTATATTAATACATTCGATAGCTATGCGATAAATTGCAAAGAGCAATGAAGAACGAAGCGGGGTTTATTTCACGATAAAACATTGTTCTATCATAACCTCATTTCCGGAGATTTAAATATGTGCTCGCAACTTGATGAGGTCATATATTGGACGGCGTTATTTTTAAGAGGGAAGTGTCTAGCAAATTGTGCCCAATAATTGTAGCTGGGTATGCAGATAAACACAGTGGCCGAACGGTCACAAGGAAAAGTAGGAGAGATATGACAATCGGTTTTAGGAGAAAAGGTACGGATAATCAACATGAGGAGTTTATGCAGGCAATACCAAACTTAACTGTTCATAAAATTGCCGAGGTCGGATTCTATTCAGGGAGTCATCATCATTAAAACTAAGGTTACTATTTCCAAAACTTGTACATTTTACCAACGTCCTTAAAGAGGCTGTGCATGATGTTGTCGTTAAACGCTGAGACAGTACATGCCCCTCGTGGTTTATTCCCCCTGCAGTGTTTTATTGTACAATAGACAACTCCCACTCGTCTTTTATTTCTCAAAGGAAGTGTACTGTCTCACCGATTAAAGACTGGGTAACAATTTGCAAAAAAACTAAGGGGGCCTGTCAAGCAACGCTACAGTTGTCATCAATAACATGTCAGTTAGAGTCTCATTGGGATGTTATGTTTTATCATCATACGTTACCATGGTTACCAACCATATATTATTAAAAAAAATATACAATGAATTATGAGCACCTGGCATCACTGTTTTATAGGTACCTATGAAGATCCGGGTTGAATAGGTCTTCAGCTACCCATGCTTGCCATAAAAGGCGACTATGTTTGTCGTAAGAGGCGACTAACGGGATCAGGTGGTTAGGCTCGCTGACTTGGTTGATGCATGTCATTGTATCCCAATTTTGTGGATCGATGCTCATGATGTCAATCACTGGATTGTCTGGTCCAGACTCGATTACTGACAGACTGCAGTCATATAGCTGGAATATTGCTGAGTGTGGTGTTAAACAACAAACAAACAAACAAACACACTGTTTTATAGCTAATCATACAGTAAACACATGCTTAAGATGTAGTTAGAATCTTACAGTGGACTCTGCTAAAAGTTCTTATTCTGGAAAGGGTTTACTCAAAGGCCATGAATGATGTAACAATCGACAAAAAATAGGCCACGCCCACTAGCACACATCTGTTTCCTGATTGGCTGAAATTAGAACAGGCAGGTCTTGTTTTGCATTATTGCACTGAGCGATGTCAATGATTTTGTACTGTTGTCTACATTTTTTTATGTGTTAATGATAAAATAACCAGTCTGTGAAGTTATCATTGTTGACATATTTATTTATAAGGATTGATACATGGTTGTGCATTGATGGAGCTGCATGGATTTCCACAGAATGCATGCCGGTTTTTACTCATATAACTCCATAAACACACAAAATTATTGATGTCAAAAAATGTGTCATCATCATCATCATCATCATCATCATCATCATCATCATCATCTTATTATTATTATTATTATTTACAGATTAAAATAAAAAATGCAGCAAAAAGGGTTTGGGTGATACTGGCACAGTTAGGCATATCATCAGCTCAGGGCCCTTGCCCCCTCTACACACAGCCCAGACAGCGAATGGGACTTCTCCCAGGAAGCGCTGCCTTGT